TGGTATGGTGAATAACGTAACACTAGCTTGAAGATATAGGTTTAAAATAAAGGTTTCTTTATACAGAAAAGAGTTTTAAAAAAACATAAATAATATATATTCATTTTCATCATTTTAGATTTATCTTTCGGTCAAATAAAAATACTTGCTCATCTATTCTCAATGATCGTAGCAGTGCACTGCTGACTCACCTCTCTCAGTTAGAGAATATTTTAACTTGAGTAAATACGATACGCATATTTACTAAACACATACATTCTGGGCCAAATCTGTTTACAAACCAAAACTGCAGTACAGCTTGCATTTATACTGCGGATGTATTATTTGAAGATGTATTAAGAGATTTCTATTTATAACAATGTATACCTATTTATAACTGACAGATTTGGCCAACACTGTGAAATGTAACAACGCTTAAGAATTCTAGGAATCAGAGAAGAACATTAATTTTTACATGTAACTGCTACATTTAAAACAAAATGTATATTACATCTCATTATATGACACTGACTGTGAGGTGGATTACTTAGGATCAAATCACGTTAAAATTAATCTCTTTTAAAAGTTTAATTTATGTTACACATATTTTATAAGCCACGTTGTATATACTTTATCAGAAATTCAAACTTCTCACTATTGACTTAGAAGAAAAATAGAACCTATTTCCAAATTTGTCTGCAATAACAATAAACTCCACAGAAAGACTAGTGAAGTGAAGTAATGTGAAGCGGATTTAAAACACTGAGTGGTTTACTGGAGAAACGTTCTTTAAAGATTTCATCTTCGCTTTGTTTAAAGTCCGTAATACATAGAAGTGTGTATATAAATTCAATTACGTTAATAAGCTCAAGAGTTTTAATATTGCTCTCTAATTATTCAAATGACGCTATTAATAATACAGAAATATTTGGATAAATAGATTTACTTAACAATAAAAATAAAGTAAAGCGGACGGTTCAGAAAACATGATGAGACCACAAAACTGACGACTTAATCCACAGACAGACAGACGAGCGGTAGGAGCTTCGTCAGAGATGAGAAGAAACAAAAATATAAAGAGACTTGAAAAATAACTAGAGAATGAACATGGAAACCAGTTGTGATACAAATGAACTGAACAATAAACATACGAACTAACAAACTTCACATAAACTAACATTACGTTTTATTTTGTCATCTCAGCGACTTGTGAGAAATTAATTTAAGTGAATTGTTATATGTTACGTGGCTCTTAATTTTTATTTTTAGAAGAAATCTCAAATTTTTATTGCTAAGGAATGTTATGTAAATGAAATAGAAATTAAAATGTATAATATTGTTATTATATCAAACAAAGTTTGTTTGAGAAAATGAAACTTTGAATATGGGAATGAATTACAAGGAATCTAATTTATTTTATATCAAATTAATGTAAAGAACTCGTTGCGTTTATATACAAGTTGTGATTCGTTTCTTTTTACATTACTTATCATAAAATTCTTTATATTAAGGATTCCTCTAAATCGTCAAGGGATATGAGGCGAAACAAGAATTGAACGTTGTGTAACTATGTATATATATTGGGAAAATGTTGTTATGTTAACTATGTGTAATATGTATACATATATGTATGTATGTTTTGTTGTTTTATTAAACTAATAACAATTTAAAACATGATAGTTATATAGGTTGCGATTCACGGTCCGGCGGAGGTTCTAAGAAAACTACGAAACTTCATTCGTTCATACATTACTACAAAAATAACGTCACTAAAAATTATTAACTAAAATCTAGAGCTAATACCACATGCCAAAATATGATTTTTGAAGATGAATTATTAAATCATCTTCTTAAAATATTTAACATTTTCCCGGACGGGTCTATATAAATATATTATGTATGTACTTTTATATATAATTATCTATTAATATCAGTTAAACTCATTTTTAATATCATAATTCAATTTCGGAATTATAAGATGTCTTTTTTCCGGGCTATCTAAGAGAACTATTTATCTTATTATTTGGCTGTCTGTATCTCTGAATGTTCTAGATAATGTTTGAAATGGTTGATATGATTTTGACTGGAATTTAACTGTAGATTATTGTGTAAGGAGTAGTCGTCTTATGTATAAGGAGTACTAGTCTTGTGTGATCTTCTCGTGCTATCATTCCATTTGCCTCTATGATAAAACTTCCTCCATCATATCATCAAACAACGAAGATGTTGTTAAATAATTGATAGAGTAAAACAAAACAAATTGAAATGATATATATGTAGTAAAAAACAGTTTTGGGATAATACATTATAATTTTAAACTAATATTAAAATATTTCATCTGAGTGTTCTTAGACTACACTCTGTATAAACGTGTGTTAAATTACTGAGTTATTTGTTTTTAATTTAAACAACAAGCTTATTGATCATCACTTATATTTAAATGCAACTAAAAATGTATGTAAATGATCTAGAAATATGTGTCGTACAGTAGAAAAAATATCATTCTACTCAACTATATAAACACAGAAGAACAAAGTTCCCTGTTACAGTTTTATAAATCTAAATGTTAATGGAAACACCCACGTGGAAGACTTAGAGGGAAATGGACCGAATTAAAAACCACTGACTTGTGTATTTCATCACATTGGGACGAAAAATTGTAAGGAAAGGAAAAAAATATAAAATATTTCAAGAATAAATAAAATATCTAATATTTTTTAACATATACGTATCTAAATGTAGATTTCATGTAATATTGATAGATTTTTAAAGCTTGTTTCATTTTAAGTAATATATTATTAGTAAAATAAGAGAATAAATGCAGTTATATATTTTAAATGATAAGAAAAATTCAAAACACAATTTTTAGCCACCGTTACTATAAAGGAACCAAAACATCGGGATTATGTAGATATAAAATAATAAAAAGCTCGTAGTATCCGAAAAGGCTTCGTTTAACTTTTTGACTATGAAAACTTTGACTTTGACTATGAAAAATATTTGTACGCCTTAAAAGTACTTGTAATTATTAGCTACATTTTTTGTTATATTTAACTTCTTAATTAAAAGTACTCATTGATAAAACAAAGTATTCAAAATTACTAATTGGATTGTTATTTCGCGACTTACATTGTCATGTGTACTTCTGAACCTTCCATATATTTTAAATAAACTAAATACATGAGAGTATATGTTTTACATTAATTTGTACTGAATTTTCCCTAAACACTTCTGGGGACATCATTAAATCCAACAACGTTACATTTCACGCTGGGAATTGTCTACTGTCAATGATTTGTATCTTTAATTCCAGACACTTTCAATCAACATTTAAACTCATTTTGTGTTGTCTATCTTAATTACGATAAGATACGAATTATTAAAGAATTTTCTTTTCGGCGTGTTAAATATAATATAGGAAATATAATCAGTAAAAATAATAACACATATTTATATAATTATTATTAGTGGGAAGTTGAAATGTTCTGATTACAGTTTTAACAGCATGAAGTGTTGTTCCTGACAAATTGTTGATCGATTGATAAGAAACAACCTGTTTGGATTTAAAAAATGCACTATTTTTTAAACTATGCATTTTTTAAACTATGTTTTTCTTCACATATACATTATATTAAAGTACCTATATATTTTATATGACGGAACAGAAACTAGGCATTTTTAAAAAGTAAGAGATTGTTTAATATACACACGAAAGCTTTAGAAAAATAACAGCAGATGTTTGCTGTGTACAACTTAGTGGACTGACGTTTCATTAAGAATATTAAAGTGACGAATAAAAACATCTTAGAGGACTGAAGATAGCTTTAGAATGAAGGTTATTTAATTCAGAACATTTTTTCAAAATTCAATTAGTAGCTAATACACTTGAAAAGGTAATAAATAAAACGTCCTTTCATTTTGTTTCTGAAACTTGAATACTTTTGGGTTTTTTTGAATGAAAACGACTTAACAAGACCCAAACTAAAAGACCTCAAGAGGTTACTTCACAAAAAACAAACATTGATACAATAGAATAACAAAATAATATTCTCATTACTTACAATAAAAATCAGTGGAATAAGTAGATTAAATATATTGTGTTATGTCATATGTTTACATACTTTTGTATAATTAATTAACTCTGTAGTTTTATTTAAGTGTTTGTGATACTTTTGAAGTTTTAATAAATATGTTGCTGCTATAACTTTCTCAATAACTTTATTAAATAATAATTTTTCAAAATAAATCAAAATTCTAGAGTCGAGCCAGTTGGCTCTCTGTGAGTACACTTGACTCAATACACGTGTACTCTTGTACTCATTAAATATAATATAAATGAATATAATTTATAACTGAAGCTACACATATAAGAAAACAAACTGAAATGAAATTCATGTAAAATTATGAATTATTGGAAAATACACGAGAACATATCAAACACATTAAGTTTATAAACCTATTTTTAACATAAAATTTTCAACCGTTACCATACTAAAGATAATAAGATGAATTTTAAATGTATTTTGTTTCAATAACAGAAACATGTTAACCGAGATCCTATAAGAGGTATTATAAAAAGCTTCCATCAAGCCGAATCACTTCAATTAAGACGCTACTTACTTTTTGTAACAGTTCTTCAGGGATTCTAATTTATTCTTCAGAAATTACCGTTTTCTTGAGACTTTTTGTAAAGATTTATTCAAGATATATTAAATAAATACTTACTGTCATGAACATTGAAATTATAAATGACAATAAACCGAAAATAGTTTACATATTCTATTAATAGACAATCAAGCAACATTTATCTAAGTTGCGACAACAAACAACAGGTCTTATACATATAAAACATAATAGAAGTTACAGACATGAGCCAAAAATCACGAAATTAAATCCTTTTGTAGTCACTGACCGAGCTTCGAGAGATTTAAAAGTTTTAATGGGGATTGAATGAGATTTAAACCTGTTATACTCCCTGGAGTACAAAAAACTAATATTAAATAACAAATGTTAAATAATACTTATATTTCTGAATGTAATGTTTTGCTCGTGCTACTAACGTAACTTGTTCTCTTGTCATCTTCAATAAAGATCATTCGTATGTGGGTCACAAGTGATCTGTACCAACAATAGATACGTATTCATACATCTCAATAGTTCTGCGACGCTTTTAATCAGATATTTATTATTATATTCTATTTGACACTTTTTAATAAGTATGAAAAGTAAATATATTTAAGAAGTGTTATGATTTTATACCTCAAAAAAGTTTTAACTGACTCATGCTGAATTAAGGAAGATTTAAATATTCTTTCTATAGTTCTGTTTGATATTTTATGTGGTGTTTTTTTTGTAGGGGCTGTGTAATGTTCGTGATGCACCTTTCGAAGCTCGGTGTGTGTCGTATAGTGTTTATAAGACAATACATACATTTCTCACGTACTGATCAAAGGACCTCACCCCAGTGCGACCGAGCAGGAGAGCGTCCATCTCACTCTCGGGCACCGGCACCACGGCCACCGTCGGCGCCGGACCAGCCTTCACCGGGACATTCATCTTGCACTCTACTACTTGCAGCTAAGGTTCAAAACACTTTGACACCAAGCTTATGTTTTGCCACATTAACTTCACACTGTGTCCCTTGCCAATAGAATTGAAAATGCTTATTGCGGTTCCTGAAACTTTTTTACTAGAACACTCCGCCTTTGATGTATTACAACTTCCCATCGGTTCTCGCGCCACTAAATTAACTTTACACATTTGTCACAGGTTTCTTCATTTGAAATATAATATTGAATATGAACTTTCAGGAAATTCACAAACTTTTTATAAGCGATAGGTATTGTAAGACCAAAGGATCCATCTATGTTCTCTATTTATGTCACTAATTAATAATTTATTAATTTCTAAAACTCATCATAACTATTTTTTATTCTAACACGTGGATATGTTTCAGTATTATTACTTTCGACTGCTGATATTCGGATCACTATGTTATTGCTCCAGTTTAATATATAAATACTTTCAATTTGTTTTCACTTCACTTTCTCATCATCAGTTCCTTTCCCTGTTGTTCCCTTTTCAGTCTTTACTATGATTTTCATGTTTAATATATTTTGTTACGGTTCTAAAAGTCTAAGTTTTAAATACTCCATATTTATTCTAAAACGTCTGTACAAAAATCGTATTACAAGAGTTTAAATTATTCATAAAATAAAACCTAACATTTAAGTATGGAAAAATTATCACTAGCTATATAGCGTCATCAGCCTATCAGAGCCCACTGCTGAGCAAAGGCTTCTTTCTCACATGGAGAAGGTTTGAGCATTAATCTCCACGCTTGCTCAAGACGGGTTGGTGATTTCAAACTTATAATTGTGAAACTATAAGTCCAGGTTTCCTCACGATGTTTTCCTTCACCGTATGTCAGTGGTGTCTAAATACTCTCAGAAAATACATATGACAGAGAAAAATCACATTGATACTTGCCAGGTTTGAACCTGCGTCCTCGGCAACGAGAGGCGGACCCTTTAACCACTAGGCCACCACTGACTATAAGTATATACTTATGTATAAAAGGGGTGACTTTAAACTTAACTAAGATATTCCAGGGTGTTAAAGGTTGTCTGCTTAAAGTGTTATGAAGTTTAGAGTCGGCGTGTTCAAACAGTCCTCAGTAAACAGAGGCGTCAAAGCAGAAAGGGATGATAACACACCAGTACCTACATGTGAGCGATCAATTAACGTTGATGTTCGCTTAAAACGGCTTAATATTTCGAGTGAACAATTAAAATACCTACAGCTCTATATAATATATTAGTGCTTGATACAAATAAACACGAGCACCTATTGTACTGAACTCGATCATTGTGACTTTTCTGATACAATATGAAATGAAATCTGAATGACGTTTCAGTTTTATTTATTTTTCAGTGATGTTTTGTGTTCATCTTTATTGTACTGTAGAGTTGCGACCCTGAGTCTGTTTATTAAATTTCAATTGTTTATTCTACATATAACGAAGCGAGTGGGAAGCGTTTAATTAATTTCGTAATGAAATCAAAACTCAGATCAGACGAGTCAGATTTAGTATAACAGTTAACAGTTAATAAATATAAAGGCTAGGCTTTAGAGGAGAGGTCGACGTATAAACTGTATTATAATGAATGTCTCTGTAAATAAACGAAAGTCCGAGAATTAATTCAAAGGAGAACAATATGCAAATTCATTATTTGTTAAATAAATTCTAAATGGTCGATAAAGGGGATCAAATTAACTTTTTCTCTTTGACGAGCTTTTATTTCCATTCATAATTTTGTCAAACATATTTCCTATATTTTTGTTACAACTGATCAAACTTTTCAGTTTCAGTTTTAATCAAGTTTGCATCTTAATGAAAATTTCACGACAACAACTCTCCAGTTAGTTTGACTTCTGTTTAATTATATTATTATACTGAAACTAAAGTTAACTAACCCATTATTAAATTATAAATCAAATACTTATATAACTTGTTAAGAAATCTTATAGATTACAGACGTACATCATATAAATTGTACTACAAAATTTATAATCAACTTAATTTTCTTTTCATATAATCGACGCACATCCATTATTTCAAATCAAACGCACCAACACTTACGGAATCTACAAAAATATTCATACACATTAAGAAACATATACAACTTGTAAAATATTAATATAAAATAAAAATATTATAAAAATATGTTGTCACGGCAATACGCGCGTTCAACGGTCGCGCGATGACTGACGCGCGGCGACCGGGTACTACCGCTCAGATATACTCTGAGACACAAGAAACATCTCACTACTTACATGTGTGTCTTCATATACCTAGATCAAACATCTGATGGAATCGGAATTATAATTGATTGACATATCAATAAGCTCTTAGTGAGTTAGTTAGTTCTGATAGTTAATTTAGAAACGCATCAAACACAACGCTGTATTGCATTAACTAAACAGCGTAGTAAATGTATTTAATTTCCTGATACAATACTGTTTGTTAAATAGATTGGTGAATTTATCTAACGTTTCCGTGTTAAACAATAACATGTATGCATTTCTGTCTCAACATATAAATGTATGAAGGTATAAACGCTCGCTACACCTGTTCCAAGCTCTTAAGATATAAACTGCTCTAATGGATCCACACGAGATACGAAATAATATCTGCTATCACTGCTACATGTGTTTTAAAATAACAAATAACAATAACACGTCGTTTATTACACCATGAAATGATTAATCACATCAAAATGAATATTAATAATGATTTGATTATTTACCTTTCATATTATGAGGTCGTTAGAGTATAAAATATGCTCGTGTAAAACAAATATTTCATACGATTTATATTTACAATTATGTTGTTTTTGAAGGATTTTTTTTATTATTTAGTCTTTATTTTTTAATCGTTCATGAAGGACTCGAATTAATAAAAATCTGATTGCAGAATAGCGGTGAAGGTGACTGTTCCTTACAGAGCAGACAGGTATTATGAAAAGGTGTAAATGATCAACATCTGACTCTGAATGATACTCTTCATAGGCTGTTTGTGTTAGTGTTTCAATAGCTTATGAAAATAAATATTTTGCAAAAATTTTATTGCAAATTTAGAATTATTAGTAACTTATTTTGCGACCATATAATGTGGGATAAGAAATGAAAATATATAGTTTTACATCGCGTCTTATAATGAATTATTTATATTATAGTCGTATTCCAATTACTAAATTAATATAACAAATGTATTTCTCATAACTTAAAAATAAAAATAGAAAAACTAAGTAAAATGCCAACTCTCTGAAAGGTTTCGCTAGGAATATGACCTTATAAACCAAACTACACTTTACTATCTTTAATAATACAAAATCACATCGTAAAATATAACAAATGTAACTATTGCTCGATATCTTCTAAATATAAAAAAGTTCAAAACCAAAACTCCGTTAATACCCGGATTGTGTATTCTGTAAATATTTTATTTCTATGTAATCTTCTATTTGTAGCAAAACCTTTCCACAAAGGTATTTACATTTTTAACCGCGTTTAGCGGTGAGTACAACACACTGTTGTATGTATTAATAAACAAATAGCGGTTAGCAAAAATTTTAGCACAAATTAACAATTGGTACAATAGCTTAATTGTGTATATATGTAAAAGAAATTGTTTGATATTTTGAAAGAATTTCAATAATTTTCCTAACCAAAAAAAAATAACAAAAGTTAAACTAGAATTCAATGTTGAATTCAAATGATGGTCACATTGGATATATAATGAAACTCTTATTATACAAAATCAACTAAAAATGTTGCTCTTTAAGTAAAATAACTGTTAAAACTATTTACGAAAATAATATGTTTTTATAACAAATAAATACTATTCCCTAAATTATTTTTATACTCCTTTTATAACTGCTATTCCTTCACAATGGTAAAAAACGTTCTAATAGTTTTCCCTCATAACTTTCACTTTATATACAATATAAATGCTATGACTTATCCTTTTCTGTGATTCAGAGAACTAAGCTCGTAGAATCGCATTTTAACGATCGGAGATCTAGAGGCGATAACTCTTAAAAAGAATATGTGAAGACAAAAAAGATTTCCATTTTTATATGTATTACTATTCTATAATGTAAATGTATTCCAATTATAAAATATCTGACTCGGTAATTAACACTTAACGTTTGATAACATAATGTGGCCTTCAAAAGAAATTCTCTACGAGCGAAGCTCTTGAGATTAAAGCAGATGAAAATTTCAGTAATGAGTAATGCAGCTACGAGTTAACTATTACAGAATGCTTTGGATAATACTATCAAAATGGAAAATATATTTTTAATATAAATGTAATAATTTCTAATTATTTAAATCACTACATTACTTGGTCATAAATAAATAAATTATTTAACTTTCCTGATTTAAGGTGTCTTTTTTTTTGTAAAAAATATTTTATTTGAATACTTTAAGCAATAGGTAGATCTAACAAGAAAATTTATATACAACATGAGACAAAAAAAATGTAGACGAAAACTTTTGAACAAAACTAATGAAATTCAAAGACTTCTGGACGTGTACATAAAATTTGATTCATATACATCTATTTTTGTATTTGTTTTTAGCTCTCCAAACATAATCAGTGTTTTGCTCATTAAAAATTAATTACATAATTAATGAATGTGTACTTCTGATGCAAAGTGGTATTCACAAAAAAAACATTGATTATTATTGTGATGTACTCGTATAATGTAGGTTACATAATAAAATATAGGAGAATACCACAAACCCTCTCATAGTTACAGTATCGGAACATTCTTTACAAAACATTATAAATGTTCTGTCACTTTCAAAAGTGGAAAATGTTTATATAAAGTTGTTTTAAACAGATTTGAGTCTCGTATATTTCGTGTCGCGGTACGAGTTATGAACGCTAACTTCACGTACATTTTTCTCATGAATGACTTTTCGTTTAAAACTAAAAAAGTTGGTTCTATAATACAATTAACGTGAACTTATCAGCTTTATTTTTGTCTCACTTTTCTTAGTCATTATCAATACCTAAAATATGTGTATTATAATGGGGACCAAGTCTTCATCTACAAGGGCATTTAAAATTTCGAGAAAAATCTTTCTTTTTTCAATATCAAAAGTTAGAGGTCATTGAAGGACGTCTTAGAAGTGATAGCTAAAAAAGTAGCGCAAAAAATATGTAGTCCATACACAGTTACAATGACAAACGACTTGCAGACAATGTAATCAGATTATAACTTATACCTCATACTTTACTGGATTAGAGAAGACTGCAAAAAAATATACGGTATTTATAACAGTTTGCGTTAGTTCAAACAAATTCTTAACATTAATACTTGTACCATTATGTAAAGAAATACGTGCAAGAGTTAGGACCATATATTCTTTTTTGAGATATAGTCGTAAAAACAGTCATCAAAGTATGAAAAAATGAAACAGTATAAAAAATAAAGATATTAGAAATGAAATAAAGCAAATATTTGTATCATATATTATACTGAGTAATCAAATCCAACACAAAGATATATCGTCTGAATTTGAAACCCCAATTCCTCGGACGCGGACCTCGGGGATTCGTTATATCATGTCAAGAGTAAGGTTACTAGATCAGGAACGGACTAGATTTATTTACAGATATAATGTATTAAACAAATAACAAGTTAGAAATATGAGTTGTATGTAACTTTTATAAAATACTTTTTGTCTAAATACTGAAATTAAATATAATTAGTCATATTAAATATAATTAAAAAGTAAGTATATTTGGATTCTAAATGGATTTATCAATTGCTAAAATAAATTAACGTAAAAACGAATATTAAAACAAAACAATTGTATTTTATTAAATTTAAAGAAAACAATCATTAACAGATGTTAGTAATAAAATGTGTACTTCAGATAAAAGTATACAAATGACTAAGCCTAGAGATACATTTTCCCGTACTGTTAGTATTTTATGCTACTTTTATCAGAGATGGTAACTTGTCTCGAGGGAGGCTGCGACACGACAATAAATATTGAAGCCGTGTGAGTTTCCTTCATGTTCTATGTCATTTTTACTTCAAACATTCTATATCAAGGATTGTTCCGGAAAAATGACTAGTATGAGAATATATAATCTTCTCTACTTAAAGTGAGGTTACATTATAAGCAATTTTAGATAAAAATAAAACTTTTAGCACTAATCATAGAAACCAATGTTACAAAAATGACATTCAAATTTGATTTAAATAAAAGTTTAATGGTAAATCATAGCTATTTAACTCTAATTTATTTATTTAGAAGGTAACATATTTCACTTCTTGCCAGGTAAATTAAACTAATGTCGAGTGAGTTAGTTGTCAGCTGGGTATAAGAGGCTAAAAGATCAGTCAGTGTTACTTATGCTTTAAATATTGGTCAGACTGGTTGCTCTGAAGTATATTTGTCAGTAATACAGTTATTAGAATGGGATTTAAGACTTTCGTGAGTTTTCATTTAAATGAAAATAATATTTTTAGGATTATAAGACACGTACTCCCGACGTTTTGGTTAGTTTTCAGCAATCGTGATCACGAGCAGACGAGATGTGATGTTATGTGTCCACTTACTTCACTACATTGAATATTTTTTTATATCGATACTTATAAACTTAATGTGCCATGTCATATTAAATAACTGTATTTTAACTTGTTTCCAGAAAACACAAAGAATTATAAATTAATCAATAATAAAAGCAGCAACGATAAATACTAAGAAGATGATAAAAGCAAGACTATCTTCAGATGAAAATTTGTGTGAAAGTGCAAAATACTAATTAAGGAACCAAGCACATGAGACTTCACTCAGTAATACATATTGAAGTGTCTTAACTTTCAGAGAATGAAAGTTTTCTGTAGAGGGATATAGGAATACATATTTCTACATACATTAAGGAACATTCGACGTCTGGCGTTTCTAAACGCGGTAATTTTGAATCTAAAACAAAAGAGCTTATAGGAGAGAATTTAGAACACACTTTTGTAAAATTAAATCTAAATTGAACCAATTTTAAATCCAACCATATTGGAGTACTATACGACCGCTGTCAGAACCGGCCTCGGACGAAAGACGATAAGATCAAACCATCACACAGAAAGAAATAAGAGAAGTCCTGCTGTTTTGTTAAACAAAAACCTCCTCAAAATGAGAGAGGTCGCTGATAGGAAAAGGTTCATGTCATATTCAAGTTGGTATAACCTACGTATATTAAGAATTGTCTTCATGTCATAAGATTGTATGTCAAACTTTTTTGGACAAACTAATACATACATATATCGATTGTTATTATTTAGTTAAAAAGAAAACTCTCCACAGTATAAATATATAAAAAAAACATAAATAAGGTATACAAATAAAATAATAAACTTACTTTAGTTAAACAATCGACATTTTAAAGTGTAAACATTTCCTACTTTATCCATCTTGTGAATAACGCCATCTGTGATTAAACCCGAGAACTTTCTGTTGAAGTACATTCATGAAACACTTCTACTAGAAACCTCTCCGTACTATTTCATAGGATTTTACATTAACAAAAGGGAGGGCGATGTAAGTCGTCTTGCTAAATATTTTAAGTAAAACAATGAATTGATTGCAATTACTTAAAAGCTGCTAAACATATTTTATTTATATACTATCATGTGATTAAATATACAATATTAATAAAGACCTAAGGCAAACTTAAATTATAGCTTTTCTTTCCTTTTCATGTCTGTTTTTTAAGTTTACTAATAATAATATTTTAAATTCATTATTGTGTGCTAAAACTATTTGTTATATCTTGATATAATATGTGCATAAGTATGTCTTTATATGTAAGAAGGCCTCATCGAGGATCTTGTAGGAACATTGTTCGAATAACAATTGTCTCCGGGACATAAAGTAAGAGTGAATTTAATAAAACCAGAACACGTAAGAAGTAACTTTTGATGTCATTACTTAATGGTATAAAGTTTTACAGCGCTCTTCGTGGTGAATAACTTTTTTACGGGCTTTTTTATCGTTTAATAATAATATTGAGAAAATAAAATGTTTTTGAATTTTCTTAGTGTTTGTTTATTAACTTTATCATTATACCAAAATATATATTTAAAATATGAATCTTTTTCCTGTTTGAAAAATATTTCATATTTTAACAAAAAAATAAGACATCTCAAGCAAAGAAAACAGACACGTAATTATAACAAATTAATTGTTCATACAATTTTTTATTTATGTTTGTACTCATTGTTTATAACTTAATAGGAGATTTCAATTTATTTTTTTGCTATTACATTGCACGAATCTTGTTTAATACAAGTATTGAGTAAAACATGAATGTAGCTGTTACTGAGTGGTAATTGGTATATAATCGTCAAATGACATTAGCGAAATCTATAAGGAAAAGCCACTAAAAAAAGAAGAAGAGTGATAATTCTTGATTGTATGTTATAGTAAGTGCTGCATCTTACCTCTGCTGTAACTCTGTAGTTCCCCTTCTGCTGCCCGTGCTCTGGTGAGTGCCGCAGCGCCTTCGTGTCAATTTGTACGTTGGTCTGCATCTCTTAAACCTCACACGTGACACTCAAACACGGACTAAAGTCATCATAATGACTTGTTTCATTTAATACTCAACTATCACTATATATCAAATCACTGACTTTATCACTCCGGATTTCATTACACTTCACTCACAGTTTCATTGTTAGAATTTTACTATTATCTCATTTGTTTCAAAAGTCCACGATTCACTGAAAAATAAAAATTAATTACAATCATTATCATGTTGAGATCTAAACTAATCTAGTTGAAATGTTTATAAAACAACCAATGTTTGAATTAAAATATCTTATTAGTAATCAAAGAAACAATTTCTTTATTTTCCTTTGAAAATGTACTCGAGATGAGATCAGGTACTTTCATCTGAAGGAATCCGTAATACGAAGAAAAGATGAGTTTGATATTTATAAGTTTATGTGTGTAGAAAGAATTTATTGGAAGTTGAGTTATGTTTACACAATATAATATATACGACAGAAATCATCGACCAATAAGATATAAAGACACATATGATATAATGATATAAGAGAAAAGTTTGTTGAGTCGATTAGAAAAATAAATTAGAAATGTAACATGCAATAAACAATAAATCATTTTCATGATTTTTAACGTGGGAGAAAAGTGTATTTAATATTAAAATAATATTTGAAAAAAGAAAATAAAAAGTGTTTTAAATTTTTATTTCTTGTCAAAATGGTATAGGTTAACTGTGGTTGACCTTATTTCGAAACCAAGAAAGTAACATCCCATCAAGAAGTCGTCTTTAATAGATTCGTTTAGTTCTATAAGTGAGAGAGCCGGTTGCCCTTTACTTGTTCCCACCCTTTCCTCTCCCTCTTTTATTATCAAGGTCGGCAAAGCATCCACAACATCCCTTATGTTGCAGGTGTCCATGGGCAACGGTGACTACCTTCCATCAAGTAGTCCGTCCGTTTGTTTGCCGTCTTGGAAATAACTAAATAAAAAAGTAAGACAACATATATTGACAACATAGATTGATTAATAAACCGACTGTAGTCAGGTCACGACAGCTCAATTAGTTAAGCTACAGGAACGTGATACCGCCAATACTGTGGCTGCTTGATATTGAAGATTAGAAACGAATGTCTTTCTCTGAGATATATTAATAAGAAGCTACCTAATTAGATGTAATTAAAAAAAGGTAAAATCAATACACACGCTTGTGTCGATCTAAATAGTATGTACCCATTAAATAACAATATAACATTAGTTATAATACTTTTTAGGAAACTTTAGATCTTAAAGAGTTAAGAGGTAGAGGTAATAGGAAAAACATAGAGAATTAAATAAAAAAGAGGATCACATGCTGAAATAAATAAAAATAATTATTAACACAACTTGTACTTGAAAAACTTACAAAAAAATACGTTTGAACGAAAGATTTTGACATTTTTAAGTAAATGGATGCGAGAATTGTGATGATGGCATTTATTAATTCTAACTAATGATGGCTGTCTTGAATAACTTGAAATATGTATTCATAATATTTCTTTAACAACCAAAGGTTTCAGGTCTTTAAATGTGGTAAAAACGAAAAAATAGTACGTAAGTACCTTGAATTAAATATTTTTATTTAATATTATTTTGGTTAATAAATTTAACACCAGTGAAAATCCAAACTCTGTATTTCCTCCGTATGTTTCTACTTGACGAAAAGGCCGTCACTACGATCCATCAACATTTAAATATTGAAAGGAATCGTTGGATTTGATCTGAACACGGAATTACTTTTACAGCAGAGGTCAGTCATTGACATCTGCTAAAAATGGAATAGAGTCTAAATATTATTGAAAATACATACGATGCTACGGATTTAATTTAATAATTTCCTAGTTTTATATGAAGTGACCAAACACGTGTATTCTTTTGTCAAAATCTTGAATGGTCATTGTACATTTTGTATTATTTATTTCTCAGTAGCCTTTTTGTTTCCTGTATATATGAAATGCTTCTTAGAAACAAACATAATAACCAATGTTACAAAATATCAAACAAAAACTGTCAGTCCTTTAATATACGAAGTCAATACTTTATCAACACTCCATTATAATAATTAATCATTTATCTTTCATTAATAATGGTTGTACAATATAAGTTGAATAAAAGTAAACATAAAAAAACACTCTATATTATTATAAGAAGTTCTATACGTAATAATATACGCACTATAATAGAAAATGTCACCTAAATTACAAGTAAAACTTGACGTTTTATTAAGTGCTTATATATTGTCACTAATATTGTGATTCTGAATATAAATATTGCTATATTATATGATGTTAAATATTTGTTAATAATCCATTGCTCGTGTATAGTACAGTACAACATTCATATTCTCTCCACACAATATTCTTACTAAAGCAATTTCTATGAAAGCGGATTCCAATAGCGCTAACCTTCATAAAGTTAAAGAAAATCACCAGAGAAAATATTATTATAGTGTACGGACGGTGACTTGGAAGTGATCGAACACATCAAATATTGAACATTTATTATTTCTGTATATAATATTAAATAAAAGCTAATGTATATATTTATAAGTTACGGACAAAACATCATCATTTCCGTAGCTTTATATGTAGGTACATGCATATGGAAATAGAGTCAATGTATTTTATAACATGACAGAAAGAGGAAGAGCGAAGGGAACTAATTACTCTACAGGGGATGAATCTTTATAGACTGAAATACGTTTTACGAAAAAGAAGATTATTAATTTTAACAAAACTATTTTGAAAACAAGCTTTTATTTGAGTAAAATTAAGAAGAACGAATTTTTACTTTGAAACTTTTTCCATTTCCTTATGACGAAGTAACCGAGTTTATATCGTGAGTTGTAACGGAACAAGCTTTTGTCCATTAATGATTTTAATTCATTTAATTTAATTGTTTTGATTAAAACATTCATTCATTTAAAATAAAGAAAATTCAGAAAACTTATAAAATATATCATATTTTTTCTTATCTTTTATAGTTTTCAAAATCAAATTGATTAAAACAAAAGGTTTAAAATTTTCACCTTTTTGTTTTCTCATACTGGTCTCAAAAACAAATGAACAGTTTTTGTTTTGGTTTTCTTTAGTTACAGAAAGTTCGGTTTATGAAACTGTTTTATATAAAATATTTCAGAAGCAATTCATTCTCAGGTTGAACAAGTTATAGACTGAATGCCTTCTAGATATATAAACTATAATATACATTTACAAACATACATTATGAAACTTTAATACACACAGAAATAGGATAAAACAAATATAAATTAATAATGGACATTTATTGCACGTGACACTCTTCCTTATTACTTTTTATTTAAGAAAATAATTTTATCTCAAAAGATATCAATGACAATAAAATGTATGAAGTAATCGTTGTAAGTGTTTCTGTGTCTTGATTGTATGTATTATAAGACGTATATTAAATATATATTGGTATCAGCTGTCGTTGACTAGATCCAGAGGAACCTTATACAAGACAACACACTCCATAGAGTCTGACCTGATGGAGGCTTCATCACCAGTGATATATTCAGAATATCTCATAAAGATAATTCTTCCACACCTTTATAATATAGTTTCTGTGGTTAAATCTAAACTAACTAAATTCTTATACTTATTTTATGTAAATAACTACAACGACAATAATAATGTGTAAGGCAGTTTTTGATACGTTACTAAATATTTGAACCGTCTAAACCAGCTTCTCACATATTTTTAGTTCCATAAAGAAATTATAAACATAAACCGTGACTTTAAGGTGTGAAGTGTCTTTCAAGTTTTCAGTTCCCGCGGGATCGCCTTACAACAGTTGTAATGTATATGACATAGACCAATGGTTCCCAACCAGTGGTCCGTGGACCACCAATGGTCCGCAGAAGCCAAAATATGGTCCGCGAATGATTTTAAATTTAGCGGGAGGTGAGTCTTGAGTCGTTTTGGTGTAAAAAAAAATTGTTATGTTAAACTTCGAGAAATGGCCTTGCGCTATTTCATGATTTTTTCAACAACTTATTTATGTGAACAAGGATTTTCTGGTTTATTGGTAATTAAAAACAAAACAAGGAATCGTTTGAAAGTAACTGATGATTTGCGTGTAGCTTTGAGTAACAATATTAGTCCTAGGATAGCCGAACTCGTGAAGAAAATGCAAGCTCAGAAATCACATTAATACAAAATTTCAGAAGTTTATCCTAAAAATATTATTATTTCTTGTTTTGTAATATCCTATTGATTTGTTAATTAAAGTTTCAGTTTGATTATTACAGTTTATTTTTATTATACTTACATAGTGGTCCCTGCTAACAAGAATAATATAAAAGTGGTCCGGAACTAAAAAAAGGTTGGGAACCCCTGACATAGACTATAGATGTTGCTGACTGTTGGTTATCATGTCTATAGTTCTAACACACTTTATACTTTATCTGAACTTGAATTCAGTCGTGAAGACGCTTTCAAAAACAAAGAATATTTGTAAAACAAATTATTATATTTATTTGGTAATCCTGGTACGGAATGAAATTAATTATTTCTGACAGAAATAAAGCAAAATAAACATTTACAATGAAGATCTCAAATAAAAACATTATGTCAGTCAATTGACGACATCATCATAAGAATATTTTATAAATTAGAAACATGGAAACTAGTTTCTTGAGGAAAATGATGCGTACTGAGGATAATAATTAAATTGAATATATTTCATTGAGAAAGGCCTTTGACGTCCATTAATATACGAGTACCTAACAACGTCTTACCTGCCATTGTAATAGAAGCATTCATTTGTCATCGAAAAGTAAATCAAAATGTTCACTGTTGGTTTAAGTTATTTAAAGAAATATATTTGTTTTATATATGTATTTTATGTTTTCTATTTATTCTATGCCTTCAAGTTATTTTATTACCTCACATTATTTACATTACATCACATTATTTACCTCATTATTATTCTACGTGATTCATTTATGAATATATTATATAGAACTGAA